AAAAGATCATCCTGGACTCTCAGGTTTGCTTCTATCAAGTTCCAAGTCTTGAATTACAACTTTTCAAGAAAATCATCCACAAGGGCAAAATGGTCAAAAGCACATTGAAAAGTCAAACTTGGACTTTTTAGATCAAATCAAGTTTCAACAATTATATTTCATCAAGACATGAAATTGGTTCATCAAAAAATAAGAAGTCAGAAGTTACTTTGAAAAAAAATCAAATTTCTAAACATTTAGAAAATTTTCTAAGTGTCAAGAGAATATGATACTTAAAAACTTCTGAGCCAGCCTCCACGCAAGTGCAGTCAGAAGTTGCAAACACGGTTCAGAATATGATGCTTCAATCAAGCAATGCTCTTTGGTCAGAACATGATTCTTCAACATATGAAGGCTATGTTCAACGCTTCGGTCAGAACATCACCCTTTGAGTCTCATTCTGGTCTTCTGCGATCAGAACATCACCAAATCCCAAGACCTCGTTTAAACAACCTGTTGCACTGCTACATCATAGTACTCTAACCAGCAGCTAATCTAGTCTATGCCTGCATTTTCCCAAATCCCATATTTGCACCAAATACAAAAAGCTATGATAAAAAAGCAATGGAATAGTGTACCAAAAAAGTTTAAATCCCATTTGTTTTTCCCCTCAAAACCACAGCAAATTCACCTATAAATAAGTTGCTCCATCACACTTTCAAGGGGATATTTTTTTGAGAGAGAAAATTGTCAAAAGAGAGAAAATAAAACTGTGAAACCTTTGTAAAAAAATCTAGAATTCCCAAACAGAAAACAAAACCTTTCTTCTTCCCTTTGAATCAAAGAACTTGGCATTTTCTCTCCCGTTGTTCTTGTTGACTCCAGAACATTTGAAGGCAGCAATTCAAGTTCCAAGCACACACTCCAGATTCAAGGTAAGTCTTTATGACTTTGCATCTTCTCATTCAGAACATCATTAAATATGTAAATATCACAATATTAATGTTGTCCATATCATTGCATAAGTAGGAAAACTGTGGATCAGAACTTCTTGATTAAGGCTAGGCTCAGAATTAGGATTAGAACTTCTATAAACTGCTGTGCTTTTATCCTCCTGATTTACTGTTGAGGATTGAATAAATTGCTGATGTGCTGATTAATATGATGAAAGAGTTGAAATGTAACACATAACTTCTGTTTTTCATTCACCATTTTAACACACAAAATTTCTAGGATTTTCTCACTGTTTAAGCACGCAGAACTTCTGAGTTCTCTTTACCATTTTAACACACAAAACTTCTGATGCTCACTCACTATTTTAGCACAACACAAAACTTCTGCGTTCTCCCTACACGTTAAACACACTGAACTTCTGATGCTTCCACTCGCTGTTTTAACACTCAAAATTTCTGATTTTCCACACGCTGACAACACACTGAATTTCTGATGTTCACTCACTATTTTAGCGTAATACAGAACTTCTGACTTTTGGCTCACTGTCTGAATACCACCCAGAACCTCTGTTTCCTTTCCCTCTGACGTTTCTTGCAGGACCTCAGAGTGTACCAATCCAGAACTTCTGATTTCACTGACGTTCCTTTCTGAGTCACCACACGCCTGGCTTCAGAACTTCTGATCCTTGTTGTTTCACTTGCAGCAACACACTATTTCTATCTTTCATTTATTTTCTTTTTTTATCATTTTCAATATTAACCCATTTTTTTTATTAATATAAAAAAGACATAAAAATATTTTCTTTAATTAATTAATTAATTTCTTTTTCTTAATTCATTAAGACAAAAAAACCATTTTCTAAACAAGTCCTTTTTCTCTCTTGCATCGTACATTTCAATATGGTTGTAATAGTTAAATAGGATTTAAATTCTTGCCCCATCCCTAAAATATTGTAATAGCGTAGGACTTTATATTCCCGTAATTTATCGCTTTCCAAATAAATGCTAGTAATTAGGACGTGTATGACAAGACATGAAATCAACAAATAGATAATCCTAATCGAGACTAAAATGCATGCAATCAAACACACTTGCACACTATCACCCTTAGGGTAATCCCACCTTGTTGCCTATCGGAAAAATAGTCGTGTCCCTCGAACATGGGCGTTTTAGTAAAAGACCCTCGATAAAAGATCGTAGTCCCTTGATGACCCTCAATGTTGCCTTCGATAAACGATCTAGTCCCTAACATAACATTTCTAAAACGTTCCATGGGTTGCCTTCTATGACTATACAAAAACGTCTCGCGCCCGTCCCTTCACATCTAACGATGGGGCTTCTTACCAAATCAATGGTAAGATAGCAACATCTAGAGGAGGAGGAAAAGAACATCTAAGACCTTTTGAGTAGGTAGATTCGCTCCTAGTTGCTTGCTTGCTCACAACAAAAACATTTTATACACCAACACATCTCTTTGAACTATTTTCGAAACCAACACTTTGTACGCATTCTTATAGAGACAAGAATCAATACAAAGTCACATTTCCAAAATACTTTCAAAACCCACATCACAAAGCACATTTTAAAACAAAAGCAAGTGATCTAGCAAGCAACTAAGAGCCCGTAGATAACTACGGATGAAAAGGGTGCTAACACCTTCCCTTTTCATAATCTACCCCCCGAACTCAAGAAAACATCTCTAAATGTCTTTCCTGTGCTTTTTCACCTTTCCTTATTGGATAAAAGAAAAGTCGATGGCGACTCTTGCTATCTGCAACATTGCAATCAAACGCAAAACAAAAATTCAGTTCTCCAACCGTATCACAACATGCATATTGCATTGAGTCGCATTGGTGTAACATGTGTCAATGTGAATGTTGAATTGGTGTGCAATATGTGATATTGGTGTGAATGTTACATTTATGATATTTGTGATTAATTATCTTTGAACCTTGAATCGTTGAGCAACGATGTATATGAAATCATATGAATTGTGTTGAAATATGTTGAATACCTGATTATGTGAAGTGTGATGAATTCAATTGATGTATGTTTGTTTTGCATTACTTATTATTATATATTTCTATAATGATATGAATTCGCATCCTTCTGCTGAAATGATATTTTATACGACATCGCTCAGGTAACGAGGATATCGGTGGTGCTCCTAACGAGGATTAATCAGAGGAGTTAGTTCTTTGTTTAGCCTTATTTAGGTAGTGAGTCATGCTCTGGTCATGTAACACAACGAACATATGGATTTATGTTATATTTGTTATATTCATGTGTGTTTGAAAGATGTTGTTATACTTTCTGAATTATTTATGTTGTATTGAGATTATGTGATGGTGGCCTTTAGTGCCTAATATTTTATGATATGATTGTCAGTATGAGATTTCAATCAATAATATTATTTTGGAATGAGAATTATTCAGCTGCGAGATACATATGTGTTAGTATATGGAACATGATTTTAAATGTGCGTTATAAGCATGACCAGTGTATTTGTGTTGTTGTCGTGAAGTAAATGTGACGTTCTCGTTGATATGCATGCTATTTTACTCTGATTATATCATATATTATGTGTGGGGTTCATGGGGTGTTACACACTACAAAAATAAAAAAGGAAGGAATTCATACCTGAGAAAAGGTTGCGAACAAAGAGATGACAAAGGAAGTAACTCAGACAAACTTGCAGAAAGAGGACAAAATAGAACAAAATGCAATGAGGGAAGTCTTTTATAGTGAAAAACATGGAAGACTCTCTGAATCCCCTCAAGGCTTTAGAAAAATTCAGCACGTTTCTGGCACGCTCCACTAATGTTTAAGGTCTCAAAAAATAGACCATCATTTATTACATCAAATAAAATTAAGCACAAATACATGATTATTGATTGACATCCCTGGCTGATAGTATTTCTTAGTTAAACAAGAGACGTCTGGCAGCTAACTCATCCATCGAGGGTCAAGATAAATAGACGACTTCAGCTGAGGGACTCACCTTTCATATATAGACGCATTCAGTTGAGGGACTCGCCCTGTGAGCATGATCGCCCTCGACTAGGGAAATCACTGATATGGTGAGGGGCTCGCTTCTAGTAAAAAAGGAGTTTAAAAACACTTTGTCCTTAGAAAAGTCCTCGCACTTGAAGGACTGTGCAATGTTATATTTTTGGAAGTCCTAAACCAAGGCACCCTCGTCTAGACGATAATTAGAAGACCCGCCCAGAGGTATCCCTGACGTGTGAGTCAAGAAAGAATGTCTCTACTAACTCTCAAAAGATAGGTGGTCAATAACTTCTCTTGATAAAAAGGGAGTGGTTGATGCCACTAAAGGTGACTCAATCTATAAGTCCAAAGGACCTCTATAAATACTATTCTCTCTAAAGGGAGGGAAAAATCATTCTTTACGTCTCAAAGGTGCATAATACTTACTAAGGTCACAACACACGACTAACCGTAACCATACGCTTGTTTCTAAGCGTCATCGTTCATCTACAAAACCTATGACCTCACGCGAACAAGACTCCTAAACTAACTCAAAATATCACCACACATGACTTCTCACCGTCGTAGACAAATTATAACTATCATATTATATTATAAACCTACTAAAACCTCCGAGTCTACCTACCCTTACAGAAATAACACACACCTATATTTTTTAAAAGTTCAATAATCAATACTTAAAGAATATTTAAGTTCTACTCTTTATTAGCTATACATGATTATATAACTTTGGCTTCTAAAAAAAAAATGGATTGACGGACTAAAGAATACTGCCCGCTGACTTGTACGACTTAACTTCACAAGCAACCGGCAACCGCTAAATCAACAACAACAAGACCAAACTCCAAACTATCCGAACCGCACCCGATCCTTCCCTCCCCCAACCTTTGCTGAAATCACTACACTTCCTCTTCTCCTTCAGATCCCTCGTTCCATCATTCGATCCAACTCAAGGTAAATTCAATCACTCCCTCACCAATGATTCTCCTTCATTTTCCAATTTCTTCTAATTTCATCTTTTTCTATATTCAGAATAAGGTTTCTCAGTAAATCACCAAGATGAGCCAAGTCTTTGAAGGCTACGAACGCCAATATTGCGAACTCTCTGCTAATCTCTCCCGCAAATGCAGTTCGGCATCTCTTCTTTCTGACAAAGGTGTTCATTATTGTTGTTTACTTGTTTTGGACTTAAATTTATTGCTTTGAATCTGATTGGTAACAAATTGTGCTGTTGAATGATTTTGTGCTACTTCTATGTGATTTGATGAAGTGTCTTATGACAATAGAGTCAGACATGTTCTTTTAATGTAGAATTGATTATGTTCTGGATTTTACTTGAAGCTTGAAGCTAGAATTTGTAGTTTTTGAGTTTAAATATGATTTTTACATTAAAATTTACTATTCAACTCACTTTACATTCAAGTCACTTTAAACCCGAATCAATTTTACGGAATTAATTCACTCCAAATCAATTTTTTTCATAACAAAAGGTTATTCTATTACTAGTATTAGATTTCTTATTGGACTCCACCATTGTTACTAAATTGTGATTTAGTTATATCAACGCACCTTCTAATTGTGACTTTGGTTCGTAGATAGTCGAGATTTTAGGATGGTTGATTTGATTAAGCTTAGTGGAGGTTATGAGATAACTAATGAGTCTAAATGTCGGGAGCATCAAATGGACCACTCCATTCCATTTAACACTTTAGGTCTATGTTCCATGTATGTGGTTTTTGTGATGGTGTTCACGGTGATTTCGTCAGCGATTCTGTCCGTAATTGATTTCGACAGCGATTGATTCAGTTGTCTGTGGTGCATGTGTGGTGCTCAATTGATTTAGACGGTGATCAATTTCGTTGACGGTGGTGTAGTGCTCGATTCATTATTCTAATGGGAGTTTTGAGCAGCTTTGTGTTGGCATCTTGTCAGAGATGAAGTGATGTGCACGCCAAGGAATGAATCACATGGCCACGAAACTGAAAAAGCAGAAGTTTTGAAGCTTCACCTAAGTAGGAAATAGGGACGTGGCTAGAGGAAACATGACTGGCAGCCGGATATTTGTTAGACCGAGCGCGTCCAGCTGTTTTGTTGACAGGAATCTTGGTAGACAGAGGCCGCTCATAGTTTGTTTATAAGTACCAGTTGTACAGAATTATTAGACATGCATGCAACTCTTTTTTTCATTTGCAATTTACCTTTAATTGCAAGTCTTTACTATATTATCATGATTTCCTAGTTTAGCTAACTTTGTTCACCTCACCGATACTTAACACTCTCTGGAGTAGTTAAAGAACTCATAGTTGACATAGTTCATTTCTCAATGAAATCATCTGAAAAAAAAGGAAATCCTTGTTGATAGGAATTAGTCGATCTCTCAGGTAAATTCAATTCACGTAAACAACAATGCTTTTTTTGTTATAGTTCTATGAGGAACACATGCTGGAATGGATGCATACTATGATATTCCGACAAGACAAAGAGGAGGATGAGAGCTCTTGTTAGTTGTTACAACTAAATGGGGGGAAAAGGGGAGGGGGAACCACTATTCTCTGCAACAATACACTGGTTTTATGACTGGAAGAACACCAATTAATCGATTGTCATGTCAACTAAAGATATCCATGTGCATATTTTTGGCCAACTAACATAAGAGTAGTGCATTTTGGTACCTATGGATTGACATAGATATGGTCATATGTTTCTTTTGTTGACACTGTTCACTCATTGGAAATTAATTCTCAAACAATTTTGCTGGAGAAGCTGGATGATATTTACTGTGCCGTGTGTCAAATGTTTTCATGAGCATGTTTCTGTCACTGCAACACAAATATGTCACAATACCATTTTTTTTACATTAGGTTCTGTTACTAATTCTTCCTTGTGATCAATACTAATTTCAGAAGAGAAGCTGCAAAAAATTTCTGAGATCAAAACTGGAATTGATGACGCAGATGTTCTGGTACAATGTTGAAGTGTTTCCTTACATCTCATGGCTTACTTTGATGCTTCTTAAGTTTTTAAATTCAATATTTTTTATTTTATTTCCCTCACCTATCTCTCCCTCTCTAGATTCGGAAGATGGACCTTGAGGCAAGAAGTCTGCAGCCAAGTGTAAAAGCAATGCTTCTTGCAAAATTGAGGGAATATAAATCTGATCTAAACAACTTGAAAAAAGAATTTAAAAGATTAACATCTCCCACTGCTGATCAGGCTGCCCGGGACGATTTGTTGGAGACCGGAAGGGCAGATGCATATTTGGTATATCTGGAACTCTGGAATATTTTACGTCATAGCATATATTTCTTGAAAATGAAAGGAGGAAGCTTGTGGCTTTCTTGTCCCTGGTTAGAGTCTTACGGAGCCCCAAAATGGGAAAATAAAGTTGTTTCTAGTTACAATTATTTTACATTTTATTGGTTTGTCAGATATGTTTTATTCTCTTTTATATCTCCTTAATGGGATCATGTGTGAAAGTTTCTTCACCTGTTAATCAAACTAACTACCATAAAGGCTCGTCATAGTGTGATATTTTAATGTGACTGAATGTTTCCTTTGTTACTAACATAGAAATTTGAGTAGAAGTAGCTTCCATAAATTTGGTAGTTGAAGTAGAAACTGCAAAATGGGTGTGGAAAGCATGAATAGTAGAAGCATACACTTATTTGAAAGATAGAAACTTGGGTTGAGATTCAAGGAGTCATATTTAATAGAGTTTAAATTGAGTATCGTTATTCCCTAACCTGAGAAATTTTGGAACTCATAGGAAGAGACGATAAATAGGGGAATTAGAGAAGATAGGAGATGGATTCATGGTGATTCGGATGAACAAGCTTCTCGCTCCCGCAAGGTTTGGCTTCCAAGAAAGGAATTTTCCTATCATTTCTCTAATTTCACATGAAAAGATCTAAGACTCTGTCAGAAACATCTTATCGACGAGGGTTTGACATAGGGCATAATCATGCCGACTTCTTGGCATATTTATGTGTCGTTCCATACATGCATGATGTTATATTGAGTGTTAATCCCATAGTTCCTAACATAAAGTCATGAGTATGAAAACACGAACAAACCCTTTGCAATGAACCCAATAGGCCAATGAGGTAAATGAACTACTCAGCTCAGATGAGCTAAAACCCAGTTCCAAGTTCCGAGTGGAACCTAGTCATACTGTCCTTCACTCTTTAGTTATTGTGAACCTCATTGATTTTGACCTATTTAAGTGAAGAGAAAACACAATTAAAATGATTATCATTACTTGAAAATAAGGTTGCAGAGATTGCACATGAAATATCTCTCGGTTTTGTTTAGCCTATCCGCATATCTTTTATTTTGAACTTAGATTTTTGAAATTGATTGCACATTGCACTTGTAATGATAATATTTCGTTTCCAAATGCATATCCAGTTCTCTTATAGTCCTATATCCCCGTACATATGATGAATTTTGAAATCTGTAGTGTTTTGAAAATGGTAGACATTAAGGAAAGTAGTGCAGTAAATCAATTGTTGTTATTCTATTATGTATAATGTGGTGGTGAAATATGGATGATTTTGCAGGCATCTTCTGATCAGAGAGAAAGACTAACTATGTCAGTGGAGAGATTAAATGAGTCGAGTGATAGAATCAGGGAGAGCCACAGAACAGTGCTGGAGACCGAAGAACTTGGCGTCTCAATCCTCCAAGATTTACACCAGCAGCGTGAGACTCTCCTGAGCTCCCATAAAAGGGTACTTGATATGTAAATGTTATTTTGTTTCAGATGGTGTTTTTATATGTTAACATTAGATAGTTCTTGTTCTCCTTCCTTTTAGTATAAAAGAATAACAGAATAAGATTGTCAGCTTTCAATGTAACGAATGGAAGATAGAAGCTGTGATGATTAATGGTTGACGATAATTTTTGTATGCTTTGCAGCTTCATGGGGTGGATAATGCTATTGACAAGAGTAAGAAAGTTTTAACCACCATGTCACGGAGAATAACAAGAAACAAATGGATTGTTGGATCTTTGATTGGAGCTCTTGTTTTTGCAGTAGTTGTTATTCTGTTTTACAAGCTATCTCGTTAGGTGATATGCACAAGATACGACGTAATTCAAGTGATCTTTTATGCTTTGTATCATTGTATGTGTTTGGTTGTATATAGGAATCACATATGATGTTTGTCATCTCCCTGCAATTGTTTCTCCGTTGTTATTTTTTATGATTGGTGAAGTTGTCAATGATTTCTTGGTTTCATGCTTTATACATTTGTTTTGAAATGAAATTATGTTTACTTGATGCACGTAAATAATGTTTACTTGATGCACGTATGCTCATTTCATGACACGATGCAAGTAAATTTGATCATTTAAACTCATTTTATGGAAGTGTATGAATTTATTGAATTTCAATTCCCCGTGTTAATACTGCATCTGCATTTGTGGGAAAGAAAAAAAGTGATTATTGGTAGCTTTTAGGGTGAGAGATCAATTAAATCCCTCACCTAGAGCTAGGGGTGAAAGTAGGTCAGGTTGACTAACAGGGGTTTACGGTCTAACCTATACAATTTTAGGTCAGATTAAGGTTTTTTTTTTTTTAAATAGAAAAGATCTAGAGTTTTTTATAAGGCTATTTAGTTAAAAAGAGAATTTTTTTATCCTATATCCCTATATTTATTTCTATACTGTGACTTTTACTATTCATCCAAAATAGACAAATGTGCACCTTTCTAATGTGAATCAGATAACTTGCTATGAAAATATCTGATATGTTATTTTTCTTAACCGGATAAGATTGTTAAATGAAATTCAGTTCAATTTCTGAACAAAACCGAAAAATATGATATGAAGTAATCCGGTTCAATATAGTCATCCAGATAACTTTCCTTAATGTTATTTGGTTTTCTTTTTACAATACCAGATAACTTCCATCCAAGTGTTCCGTTATGAATTATTTATCAATCGGATTTCTTTTCTATAAGGCTTCCGATTCGCTTGATTTTTTTAATTTTTTTTTATTGATTGATTTTTTATATTTATATTTAATAGGTATGGATATTCCTTTGATGATATGTCATAAAATTCAGACATGCGTAGATATCACTGATGTATTTTTAACTACTCAAAATTTTGCTACACGAGAAGAGGCAACAAGTTGGATTAGGGAGGTTGGAATCAGGAATAAAGTGACGGTTGTAGTAACTCGTTCAGATACCAAAACAGACAAGAGAAGAAGAAGTGACAGTAATATTTGGTTGTGATATAGGTGGAAAATACAAAGAAGGAGATAGTGAAACACAAAGTGCTAGTAAGAAATGTGATTGTCCATTCAAAATTAGGTCAACACTGTCAAAAGATGGTTATGGATGAAAGATTGATGTAAAATATGGACTTCATAACTATGCTTTACCTGATAGATTTAAAGGTCACACGTTTGTAGGTCGACTAAATGCAGATGAACAATATCATATTATTGATTTGACAAAATGTCATGTTCCACCAAGACACATACTATTGTCATTGAAGAGCGAGACCTGGAAAATGAAACTCGGATCACACAAATATATAAACATAAGAGTAAGTTACAGAAAGACATAAGGGAGTTTTAGAATGTAAATTTAACATTTGTTTAAGCTGATAGAGGATTCAAATTATGTTTACTGGAATAGAAAAAAAAGATGAGTCGGAAGTGTTGTACCCCAATTTTTGCCCCTAAGATTCCTGCATCATACCATATTGTTTCAATCACAACAAGATCACATTAGGGTTTTTGATTCTTCTCCTTATCTTTAGCCTTTCTCTTTTGAGGAGTTACCAAGCACCTTGACTTGTTTTCTTTTGTGATCATGGATATTTTGCTTTGATTTTCTCTCTAATTAATAAAATACAATGTTGGTTTGTCTTACTTGTTAATAATGCAGGTAAAGGCAATGAGGTTTAGCAAGTTGCTTCATGGGTTCATGAGTTTATTTCCATGCCCTAGTCAATAGCTTGAGAAATTCAAACTTCACTATTGGAGTGATTTTGAAAGAAATGGCATGACAAGGCTCATTTTGGTTCAACATATTTCAAAGTTATCAAAATTGATTCAAAAGTATAAAGGATTAAGGGAAGAAGTTATCATGATTGGACAAGGTCTTGTTCCTATTGGTCACAAGAGCATATTTCTCTATAATTTCAAGATATGAAAGTGGTTTTGGTGGCTATGAGTCCTCATCATCATCCTCAACAACTTCTATTCACAAAGGAAGAATATTGGCACAAAAAGCTTGTTCAAACTTGGCAAATTTCCTCAAAGCATTCTCTTGATCTAGAGGCTAGAGTTTTAGACTTCAAAGGAGCATATCTTACTCATCTTTTGGTATTTTTGAGTGATTCCAAAAACATCCTTCTCTTCAAAGAGTTAACAACAAATCACTTCTAAAGTTACAAGGAGTTTTCATGTGGAAGGAACTTGGTGAAGAAGAAAGATTACAAGTCACCCAGATGAATCCCCAATTTTCCATATGTGACTTTAAATGGTCATAACTTGGTCAATTTTTATCACCTTGAGCCCATTCTTTTTTCATGATTATCTTAAGGATGTGTGCTTCATGCCTTCTTTTATGTGCAAAGTAAGAAAATGGATGGAAGTTGCCTTAAGGATGCAAAAGATTATAGGTCATTTCATGATTTTTGGCCAACTTCAACAAGTCATAACTTGCTCAAATTTTGGAGATTTTGAGCGGTTCAAATTGAAAAATGTCATTCAATAGATCTACTTCATTCCATCTGTTTTGGTCAAGAGCAAATTCTAAATGGAAGGCCATGTTTGGATGCAAAAGATTATAAGTCATTTTTAAAGAAGAATTTGAAATATTTCTAAGTATGGAAAGTCAACTCTTTTTCTTCAACTTTGACTCCATGTAGCTTTCATCTCAAGCATCCATTTGATTCCATTATTTTTCCATTGCAAAGCTTGTAACCTCATCTTTCTAAAGCATCATGAATTATACCCTAAGACCCCTTGAGGTGGAAATGCCATGGATTTGAATTGGGTAGTTTGAAACTGAATTTTTCACAAAGTCAGGATTTTGAAATCTTTGTTTTGGCTTCTAATCACAAGGTTTCCATGCATTTTTGGTTCTAATCATGTTTAGCAACTTGCCAGAAGTGATTAGCATCACGAAATGCACGATTTGGTCGAGTTTTGATCAAGTTTGAGCCACACTTTCTTCATGATGCAAACTCACACGAATTCCCTCCAAAATGCATCATTTGCTATTCCTTTTGATCCCATTTGCTTCCCTATAAATAGAGGGTCATCCCCTATTCAATTTCCCAAGCTTGGATAGCCAGAATCATCCTGCCAAACTTGCTTCACAATCCAGAATTCAGCAACTTCGAAATCTATTCTCAAGCCTTTTTCAATCCATTTTTTCCCTCAATTCACCTTCCTTGATATTCACTGAAGCTAACCATATAATTACATTCAAGAATCGTGACCTATACTGCTCCATAGAAGTCCAGTTTCAGAGCTCTGCAACTCAACTTCAATAGATAGATTCCTTCATCAATTCTTCAAAATTCTGATATCATTGTATTGCTCTCATTGCCCTGGTTCTAGTCGTAACACTTACATTTCACTGGGAGTACGTTTTGACCATGAATTTTCAAATTCCTTTTCAAAATTTTCCTTCCAAATTGCTTGAGCTACAGTTTATATAAATTTGGCGCGAGGGTGTGGTTGTTTTCGTCTTGAAGAGACGAAGCGATTGGCATAGGTCTGAGCTCCTGATTTTACAGTTTGAGAGACCTTCAAATCACGTTGGCTGGAGGTTGAAGATGACCTATGTGTCATCTTCCAACCAATGATGGCGTGCCATTTGTGTTTTTCGAAAATATGATTTATTATTGATTATGTACATTATTCATTAATGACCATGATATGCACAGCGCGCCAGATCCCTTGGATTTGATTACTAACGCGTTTTGACTCTCATCCAGTGGTCCACATCTTTTACTTTTATTTTCTTTTTCTGATTTTTATATTTTAATTGTTTTAAATTTCAAAAAATCATAGAAAATTCATTTTTATTCAAAAAAATCTGAAAAAATTATGAAAAATATTTTTGATTATTCTCTTTCTGATTTTTATTTTTTCACGATTTAATTTTGTGTTTTGGTATTTTTTTAATGAATTTTACACTTATTTGATTTGTTAAAAATGTTTAAAAATACTTTTATACATTTTTAAATTCTGAAAAAAATTATGGAATGATCGAATGATATTGTGACAAATATTGATGACCTTATTTCATTTTTGTTTGACTTTACTATTTTTTACTATTTTTGTTTATTTTACCCATTTATTTTAATTTTTAAAAATAGTTTCTAACTTTTAAAAATTACCAAAAATTTTGTAAAATTACTTGGTCTCTTTTCTGATTTTTCTATAGTCTTATTTTTCATTTCTTTATTAATTTGAATATAATTAATATTTTTCTCATTATTTTCCTTTTAAAAAAAAACATTTTTAAACCTTTTAATGTATATATTAAATACATTATTATTTTGTGATTATTTTCTGGCTGTCTTGGGTTGATTTTTTGATCATGACTTTATTAACATCATTGGATCCATGGTGTTGAGTTTAACTCCACAAAAATGGATGAATGATTTTAATAATAGTTTGATTAAATTTTTAATTCAAAAGTGGTTTATTCATCTTTTGCCCCAATCCTCTTCATCTCATCCCCTTCCCATTGCACTAAATGTTGTTGGAGCATGATCTCTATATCATGTCTCAAAACAAATGGTGCGTAGATTGCTATTGACCGGCCTCAAAATAGGTGCGACTTCTATATAAGTCCACTTAGGATTGCTTAATATAGCGCTAAATTTTGTCCCGATTCGAATAAATGATCATTCGTGGCCCAAACTTATGATTGCAAGCCCAAGTATGCTAATTTGATCTCTTTGATCCAATAACCTTGAGATTCATTGTATGGAGGCTTTGGTTCTACCAATCCTTTAATGGATCTACAACATCTTTGGTCAACGCGGATCACTTAAACATTGTTGATCATTAAATGGTACTTATGAGAATT